GGGAGGGGAGGGGCCGGCAGGGAGGGCACCTTGAAGAGGCAGTGATATTTGGGCTGAATGAAGACACGGGGGAGGGGGGTGACCAGCGTGGACGGGGCTGGGACGCGGGGTCGAATGGAGGAAGCGGCAGGTGCAGGCCCACGTGGCACATCCGTGCTTTATTCCTGGGCAGCGGGAGCCACTTCAGGCTTCAGGAGGGAGGTGCCTGGGGGGCACGGGGAGGGACGAATGTGCGAACCTGGGTCTGGGGCTGGGACTGGGGCTGGGGGTGGGATCTCACAATGCCCCAATACCCGGTGCCCTCTCCCCTGCCTCTCAGCTCACGGGGCGCTCTGCCCAGGGCGGGGGTCCCCCTCCCTCCTTGGAGCCCAGGGCTGTAGAGAGGACGCTGACCAGCAGGCTCTCACACTGGCCCCCCCCAGGATCCGAGGCCCAGGAGGCCTTCAGGGAGCGCCTGGCTCAGCCCCTGCGTGCCCCAGAGCACCCAGAGGACGGCCGCTTCCCCAGCCTCGGCTAACAAAGGCAGCGGGGCCCCTGGCCACCTGCTCCAGCCCCGCGACCCGCCTGGCCGGCCTCCCCCTGCCCCTCTCGGCCACAAACCTCTTTTGTGCTTGCTCCCTGGGGCTCCATCTCTGCGCAGAGGTCACGGGCACCGCTGACCCCGTCCCCCTGCTGGCGTGCAGGCTGGTAATTGAAAATTCCAGAGTTCCCTGGGGACCAACTTACAGGGAAACCCAACCCCCCAGGGTGGGCGGCGCGGCAGGAGGGGCCCAGAACATCCAGCTGTTCCCTTTCCTCCACCGCTAATCCCGCCGGATTCCAGGAGAGGCCAGCCCTCCCCGCCCCCCTTCCTCCGCGGCCCCCCGCGGCCCCTGGCTGGATCATCTTCCCGGCAAATGCCGCCTCCTTGCCACGCCCGGGTTACCGGGCTTAGGGGATCAGAGCCCGGGTGAGCTGCCTGAAACCCAAGCCTGCCGGCTAAGCCCACCAGGCCCAGACCTCCATGGCCGTGCGGGTCCTGCCTGCGCCAACAGGCAGCTGAGCCCCCGGGAGCTGGGGCGGCCGGGTGGGCAGTGGCCGAGGCGGCAGGTGCCGGTGGAGTTAGCTTCATGGCAGGACAGGAGCCATGGCAGGGGGTCCTCGGAAGTCCTCTGAGGTTCGTTGGTGTCCAGACCTCGCTGGGCAGCCTGGGTCAGCTGCAGCCAATGGAGGGGAAAGGGTGGGGTGGGGGGGACCAGGGTGGGCCTGGGTTCACACCCCCGCTCCATCACTCACTTAACCTGTGTGACTGAGCAACGTGCTTCCCTCTTCTGTGCTTCGGTTTTCTCATCTGTGAAATGGGTGTGATAACAATACCAGCCTCGCAGTCTGGATCTGAGTGTTAAATGAGTGGCTAAGGTGCAGTATCTGCCTTGGTGGCCACTGCACGGTCCCACCCCTTTGCGGGCACCCCCGGGCACGCAGGAGTGTTGGGCTGGGTCCCTCCTGCCTCCTCTCCTGGGGAGCCTTGGCCCTGCCCCTCTCCTAGAACCACTTGTGCCACCGCGGCAGGACTCAGCCGAGGACCCCTGGTGAGAGCAGGCCCTGCAGTGAGCGGCGCGGCCGATAGGCAGAGTGTTGAGACTCGGGTGCTCCGGACCCCAACCCTCGTCCGGACCCCGCTGTGGGGCCTCAGACAACCCCTGCCCGTCTCTGGCCCTGAAGCCTCCCAGTGCGGCCCACAGACCATTAGGAACACAGATTCTCAGGCCCCGGACCTGCTGAGTCAGACTCCCTGAGGGGAGGGGGCCGAGTCTCCTGGCTACCCCACCCCCCACCCCCTGCCAGCTCTGCTTTGAGGGGAATGGCGCGGCCATTGGGAAGTGAGAGGGCAGGGACAAAGGGGGCGGCACCGGACCCCCTTGGCCAAGTCCTAACCGGGGGGCTCGGGCCCAGGAGCCCCACACACTCCAAGTCTCCCGGCCTCCTCCGTGAGTGCTGCTGCACCCGGCCCGGAGCCCCTGGAAGGCAGGGAGCCTGTGAGGTTCGTCTCCTGAACGCACCCCAAGGACCAAAGGACTCAGCCCTGCCTGCCCCCTGCGCATGCCCGGGCCACCGCCGCACCTCTAGGGGCTTCCCGCTCCGTGCTCACAGCCCCCTGGCCCCGTGAGGATCCCCACTGGACAGGGGTGAACGCTGAAGCTCCGGTCACCGTGAAAACAGCGCCCAGAGCCACACATCCGCCTTGCCTGGTTGCCCCCCGGGGGACGGGTCCAAGGTGCCTGGAGGATCCCCCTCCCCAGTAGCAGCCTCATCCCCAGGCCCCTGGGGTCGGGGGCAGGGATGGCACTGGGGTTGGACATGGGGTCCAGGCATGAGGGGACAGGACAAGAAGCAGGGTCTGCTTTGAAGGTACTCAGGGAGACCCAGCATGGCCCCTCTCCAGCTGTGTGACCTTGGGGAAGTCTCTGTGCCTCTCTGAGCCCCCGTTTCCTCTTCTGCAAAGTGCAGAGGATCGAATGTCACAGGGCAGCTGCTCTGTGCACAGTGGCGAATGACACGGTGAGCACTCCCGGTGCTGTCCACGTGCCGGGCGCCACACCAAGTGCTCGGCTGGATTCCTGGCCCCCAGGGGCCCACTGCCCCAGCTGGGCAAGGAGCTGAGCTGAGGCTGAGCTGGCCCCCTTGGGTGCAAATCAGCAGATGCTCACCAGGGGTGCTGAGACCAAGGTCCAGGTCGTTCCTGCAGTGCTGCCGCGCTGGAGAGTTTGGGACCCCCAGGCTGCTGCAGCTCAGGGCCAGGGGCTTCACGAGAGGGACAGGCAGGGAGCATCCAACTTCGAGGCCTGGGTCTTCCGGTCTGGCCCGTGGTGCAGGGGAAGCCAGGCCCAGAGAGGGCGCAGCTCCCCGAAGGTCACACAGCCTGTCAGACAGGACAGTCTCGGGGGATGGAAACAGAGCAGGAAACAGGTGCGGCATCCCCAGGCAACAGCTGATGTGTGAGTCCCCATCAGTCCCGGCCCGGCCCCGTGTTCTCATCCTGGGTGGGCAGAGCCCCGCAGAGCAAGCAGGGGAGTGTGGGGAGGCGGGTGTCACCCTCAGCCTTCAGGCGTTCCTGTGCTGCTGGTGACAGGATCTGCTCGTCACCCACCAGCCCCGGAGCCAGGAGGGAATGCGAGAGATGCCCCCTTCAGCGCCCCCTCGGACCATGCAAACCTGAAGCTTGGAACACCAAGTCACACCATGGGAGGGTCTCATCACCACCAGCCCCGGAGCCAGGAGGGAATGAGAGAGATGCCCCCTTCAGCGCCCCCTCGGACCACGCAAACCTGAAGCTTGGAACACCAAGTCACACCATGGGAGGGTCTGTGCCAGCCTGCTCTGCTGTGGAGCTCAGAGCCGTGGGTTCAAATCCTGGCACCCCACTGACTGATCTCACGACGCGCCGGGCCCCACTCCCGCCCCAAGCTCCGGCACCCATCGTTACCAGGCTGTGCAGCTCCTACTGCCCCCCAGCGGCAGCCAACCCCCGAACACACGTGTAAAGGGCTCAGAGCCGTGACCGACACATAGTAGGTACTTTGAGCACATTTATTCCACTTGAGAAAGGCAAAAAACAGGCTGGGTGCTTTACGAGCTAAGGAGTTGAGAAAAGGCCGTGTGCAGCTCCTGGCCCCTCCTGGACCTGGGGAAGTGTGCTGAACTGATTCTGAGAGTCCTAGCACAAAACACAGCCCGGCCTCCTTGTCGTCTTCATCCAACCACTTCCTAATAGCACGAACAGCACCTGCGCTTGGGCTGAGGAAGACGGAGCGGTTGGTTTTACTGAGGTGCAACTCACGCGGCATAATTCAGTGGCTTAGTGTACTTTCCATCGCCCCAAAGAGACCTCCAGACCCAACGTGCCCCCTCCCTCCCTCCCTCCCTCTGCTCTATTTTGTGCCTCTACTGATTCACCTCTTCTGAGTATTCCGTATCCACAGAATCGTCCGATCTGCCCCTTTGCGTCTGCCTTCCCCCTGGGCTGTGTGCGGGGTGCATCCACACCGTAGCAGCTATCAGAACTGCATTCCTGTTCGCGACTGCATATAATTCCATTGCATGTGCCTCCGCCGTTTGTCTAGCTGTGCTCCCACTGATGGGTGCTCACGTCGTCTCCTCCTTTGGGCTGTTGCAAGTGACGCTGCTAGAGGCACACATGTCCAGCATCTGTCTGAGAACCCATCTGCAGTGTGGCGCCAGCCCAGACGGCTCCTGGCTGACAGTGGCTCAGCGCAGGATTTTTCGATGTTGCTGTGATGTTACCGTGACATGCACTCAGAAGAAACCACGGTTTGAGTTTTGAACTTGGATCCATTCCTGGGCTAGCACTAGATGCTCCGAACCTGTCTCTGGCAGCACGCAGAGCTCTGGCAGCCCCGGGGTCACCAGGGGACAGCAACACTCCGCAGCGCGCCGGGCGGCTCAGCTCGGCTGGGACGCGTGCTGGCTTCGGCAGATTCTGCATTGCCAACTCCCAGCATCAGGATGGACTTAGGAGCGGAATTGCTAAAATGAATACATAGTTATGGCGGGGACGAGGGGCTGCTGCAACCCCTAGCATGTATTGGCCCGCAGTAAACGAAGAAATGTGTCCGACACCCTCTCTGCCTCCATGGTCCCCTCTGCTCCCTCTGCCAGGGCCGCCGTCACCATGTCGGGAGCCCAGTCCCACAGACTGGAACTTCCAAGACTGAGTGACAGGCACACAGGCCCCCGGTTCCAGAGCTGGGCCCCAGTGCCTCTCTGCACTCGCCATGCGTGAGCTTCCCCGGGGAGGCCAGCGTTGTCAGGGTCTACAGGTGCCCCCAGGAGAGCTCAGGAGCTGCACCCACAGCCCCACATGAGCCCCTCTGGCCCCCGCCAGCTCCCCTGGGCTGGCTGCGTGGCCTGCACCTCTCTGGTCCCACAGCTTCCCATCTGTCCAGAAGCTGCACTGTCTCATGGCCACCCCGACCCCTGACCTCTGACCTCTCTTGCAGCTCCATCAGCCGTCTCCATCATGCACCAGGTGAGCCGCACCGTGGACAGCATCACCTTGTCGTGGTCCCAGCCGGACCAGCCCAACGGCGTGATCCTGGACTATGAGCTGCAGTACTATGAGAAGGTAACCTGTCCCCCACGCGCCCTCCCACCGGCCTTCCTGGGCCCCTCCCTAGGTGCACTCTTGGCGATGCACCCGCCCGAGAGACCAGGGCCTGGGTGCAGCAGCAAGAGCACCGGCCTCCTGGCTTCTGATCTGGCGCCCCGCCCCCCACGCTACGCAGCCTGGAGTACACGCCTTGACCTCTCTGAGTTTGTTTTCTGATCTGGGGGGGGGGGGTCCGGCCAGCGACTTTGAACCAATGCCACAGTCGCAGCCCCTCCCCCACCGAGGCACCCTGCACTGGGACTTCAAGGGGCCTGAAGCTATAAAACCCCAGCTTTCCACAAGCTGCGTGTGATAGTCACAATCAGTCCTTTGCCCATTCTTCAGCCGACATTTGAGCCTGCTCGGGAGAGCGGGGCCCGGGGCGAGCGGCACCCTGGTTCCGGCTGAGAGGTTCGTGTCTGCAGGGGAGAGGGTGAGGCGCCTCTCAGCTTTAAACTCAGCCCCTCATTCCTCCCTTGGCTGGAAGCCCCTAGAGCAGCAGCAGGAGCAGCAGCCCAGGCCGGGCAGCTCCGAGTTCCCATCCTGCCTCATTACCAGTGTGTGATCTCGGGCAGCACTGTTTTCCCTCCGAGCCTTGGTCTCTGTGTGTGTCGGGTGTAGACGAGACCACCTCTATCTGTCCGTCCATCCATCCGTCCATCCATGTTTGAGACACAGGGAGAGAGAGCGCCATCTGCTGTCTCACCCCTCCAGTGCCTGCAGTGACTGAGACTGGGGCCAGACCACAGCCAGGAGACAGGCGCTCAATCCAGGTGCCCCGTGGGAATGGCAGGACCCTGATTACTGGAGCCCTCACGCTGCCCCGCAGGGTGTGCATTAGCAGGAAGCTGGGGTCAGGAGCAGGAGCTGTAAAACAAACCCAGGCACTCCGGTGGGGGCGCGGGTGTCTTAGCCTCTGGGCTAAATGCCCCCGAGCCACTTCCCCACTGGGGCCGTGTGAGTGAGACCGGCAGGGGCGGCACCAGTGCAGTGCCTGGCGTCAGCAGAGGCCAGAGTGCTTCCCTGTCCTGTTCTCCCACCTGCTGCACACTGGGCATGGGCAGCATGGGGTGAGGCCGGAGCGGGCAGAGCTGCCTGGGACAGGGCCAGGAGCACAGGTGGTGGTGGCTGCCCACATGGCTGCCATTAGATGCCCCATAAATCCTCTCCTCTGACTGATGACAACTTTATTTTTTTTTAATTTATTTGAAAATCAGAGATACAGGGAGAGAGAGAAAGGTCTTTCATCTGCTGGTTCACTCCCCAGCTGGCCACAATGGCCAGGGCTGGGCCAGGTCAAAGCCAGTGGTCAGGAGCTTCTTCCAGGTCTCCCACATGGGTGCAGGGCCCCAAGCACTTGGGTCATCTCCTGCTGCTTTTCCCAGGCCATCAGCAGGGAGCTGGATGGGAAATGAAGCGGTCAGGACACAAACCCATGCCCATACGGGATGCCGGTGTCACAGGCCACAGCTTTACCCGCTACACCATGATGGGCCGGTGCTGTGGCTTCGTGGGTTAAGCTGCCGGCTGCAGTGCCAAGATCCTGTATGGACACTGGTTCATGTCCCAGCTGCTCCACTTCCCATCCAGCTTTGTGCTAGTGCACCTGGGAAAGCAGCGGAGAACAACCCAACTACTTGGGTCCCTGCTACCCATAAGGGAGACCTGGAAGAAGCTCCTGGCTCCTGGCTTCGGATCAGCCCACCTCTGGCTGTTGCAGCCATTTAGGGAGTGAACCAGCAGATGGAAGACCTCTCTCTCTGTCTCTCCACCTGCCTCTGAAACTCTGCCTTTCATATAAATAAATCTGAAAAAAAAATTTAATTTTCATTTTATTTGAAAGGCGGGGAGTGGGGTTGTGTCTTCCATCTACTGGTTCACTAACACCAGCCAGGGCTGTTCCAGGCCAAAGCCAGGAGCCAGGAGCTCTGTCCAGGTCTCCCACACGGATGGCAGGAGCCCAAGTTCTTGGGTCATCCTCAGGCTCGTCCTCATCCCAGGATGCATTAGCCAGGAGCTGGGTCAGCCGTGAAGGAGCCAGGACTCAAACCAGGTGCTCCAACGGGGACCCCGGCACCCCAAGGGTGGCCTGACCACTGGGCCACACGCCAGTCCTGTGCCTGAGGACTTCTTACCCGCTTCCTGAGCCCCTCCCAGAGAGCCACAGAGGTTGCAAGGTGGTCCCGGGGCTTCCATTCAGACTCAAGTGTACTGAGGAAGGAAATCCTTCAGAGGCAAGCCCACTGGGAACCGGAAATGATGGAAAAGCAGAGGAAGGGAGGTGGGAGGGCCCCAGCCAGCCCTGCTGGAGCCCAGCTCTCTGAGGCCGGCCCGGCCCCTGCACCCTGTGACCTGCTGGGTCTGCCACACTTCGGTGACACTCAGAGTTCGTCACACACTTGTCCAAGCCTGACCAGCTTGATCCTGGCTCATCTTCTCCCAGAGGTCAGGGGTCACATCTCTCCCTCCCATCCCCCACCTCCTGCCCAGTACCCTGGGCCTGGCACAAAGCAGTCGCCTGGGAAACAAGGGTTGGGTGAGTGAGTGGATCCTGGCCCTAGTGTGTGGAGCTCACAGCAGAGGCCCCGGGCACCCCTGGCCTTCACACACACACACACACACACACACACACACCTTGCTGCCCACTTTCCCCACACCCTGTGCTCGTCTCTGCCTGTCAGAGTCCCCAGGGTCCCAGCCAAATGTGCATCTTCTTCCCGTGGACTCTGCCCTTACTCTGAAAACCCTGGGAGCTGACAGCTGCTGGCAGGTGCCCCCCACCCCCCACCGCAGGCTGTGGACAGCCAGTGAGCGAATTGTGGGAACGAAGAAGCGAGGGCAGAGCCTGCAGCCCCAAAAGAGGACTGAGCGGAAGCCTGGCTGCCTGGCTGGCCGAGCGCTGGCGTCCCAGCCCCCACCCCCGCCTCCACCCCCACCCCCACCTGGCCTCTCCAATGTCTTCTTTCCTATCTCTCCTGGGAGCAGGCTTTGGTTAAGACTAGTGGTGAAGACACCAGTCAAGGTGCCTGAGTCCCACGTCGGAGCACCTGGGTCAGTCCCCAGCTGCGGCTCCCGGCTCCGGCTTCCTGCTGATGTGGACCCTGGGAGGCAGCAGTGAGGGCTGGAGTGATTGGGTTCCTGCTGCCCACCAGGGACACCTGGATTAGACTCCTGACTACAGCCCCTGGCCCAGCCTGCCCAGCCCAGGCCAGGACCATGGCAGGCATTTAGGGAATGAACCAGCCAATGGGAGCTCTGGCTGACTGCCTCTCTCTCTAATTAATTGATTGATTGGTTGATTAAAAAATCGCAGCTTGGGGCCAACACTGTGGTGCAGTGAGTTAAGCTGCCACCTGCGGCACCAGCTCCCCCCAACAGAGCACTGGTTCTGCTACTCCGCTTCAGATCCCGCTCCCTGCTAATACGCCAGGGAAGCCAGTCGGGGTCGGTCTCAACCCCTGGGCCTCTGCCACTCTGTAGGGGAGCCGGATGAGGTCCCTGGCTCTTGGCTTCAGCCTTGGCCAACCCGGGTAATTGTAGCCATTTGGGGACTGAACCAGTGAATAGAAGATTCTCTCTCTCTCTCTCTCTCTCTCTTTCTCTCTCTCTCTCTCTCCCCCTCCCTCTCTCTCCTTTCTCTTACTCACGCTACCTTTCAAATAAGTGATTAAATCTCCTGGGGAAAAAAAGAGAGAGAGAGACTGAGTCCGGCTGCCCCCTCCTCAGAGAAGCCCTCCGTCAGCACCCTGACCAGGCCCCCCACCCCCGCCGTGGACCTTGCTCCCTCCACTCTGAGCTCCACGGGCACCCCCCGCGGTGGGGATCTTGCCCCAGCCTCTGCTGTGGCCCTGGCGCCTGGCGCTCAGCAGGGGCTGGACCAGCACGTGTGGGCTGACTCTCTGGGAAGTGGCCAGGTGAGAGCCCGTGGGGCGCGTGGTGTGGGCGGCTGTCCTGCCAGGGGCTGGCTGCTCCGGCCCGAGGTGCCGGCGTCCCTGCTCCCTCCAGTGGGCAGAGCTTCAGCAACTCAGAATTCAAAAAGGAAAAAAGAGGAGGAAAAAAAAACCTAATTAAGCAGCTGTGTGATTAAATGAAACTGAAAGTGTTTGTCCCTGAAGACAGGAGCGGAAACGAGGAAACCCATCGCGGGCCCGCCTGCGACCCACTTCCTGCCACCGCGGGCAGGCCTGGGGGCTGCTGGGGTGTGAACCGGGATGTGGCTCTGGCCTACTTTCCACGGCAGCTGCAGCATCCCCGGGCCCCTGCCTCGAGGGCCTGGACCAGCAGGCTCCGCGGCAGCCACGTGACCACTGCTCACAGGTCACGGGCACACAGCAGATGCCGAGCACTTGGGCTCCCTGGTCTCATCCTCGTGGTTGGGTAGAGGGGAAACAGAGGCACAGAGAGCAGGCAAGTTGTCCAGGAGCACCCAGGGCGTTTGGCACTGAGCCTGGCCCTCCTGCCTCCCGGCTGTTTCCCAGAACTGCTTCCGAGATGACCGTCAGGTGACGGACCAGCCCTGCCCCAGAGGACAAGGGGGCAGGGCAGAGGGCCCGGCAGCCGGAGGTCTGCCTGCCACAAGGTTCGGTTGGTGCCCAGCACCAGGCCCTGGGGTGCAGAGAGAGGCCAGTGTGACAGCAGTTGCCAGGGGTGTGGATGCAGGGTCGTTCAGTATTTACGGTCGCTGACTTTGGATTGGGCCCAGAGACGGTCTCAAAATGAATAACCATGAGACAGGTTTGATACCAGCCACAGAAGAGCCAGTGGGGGCCCCGGGGCACCCAGGAGCGCCCCACCGTCCTGGCAGGGGCCAGGGGAAGCCAGCTTTGGGTGACATTTGAGCTGAGCCCTGAAAGAGGCAAGGAGTCCACCAGACAGACACATGATGGGAGCAGAGTCATCGCAGGCAGCAGGAACAGCATGGTCAAAGGCCCTGGGGCAGGAATGTGCTGGCTGCAGAGCATGAGCGTGGCAGGAGCAACATGAGCAGGAGGGAGAGCGGCCCGGTCATGGCCGGCCTTCTGGGCCTGGGGCGTCTGGGTTTAATTTAAAGCAGGATGAGGGCGCCCTGGAATGATGCGATCTGACTCCGATGGTGCTAGAGCGCCCTGCAGCTTGCTGTGTGTTGCAAGGGGAACCTGGAGACACGGGGGAGACCCTGTGCAGGGCTCCCACGGGAGCCCAGGAAAGAAAGGTGGTGGCGAGATCGGGAGGCTGTGCAGCGGGGATGGTGCGAGGCTGACAGAGGCAGGAAGCACATCGAAGCCCGGGGGGGCCGGGGATCCGCCATGGCTGCCTCCAGGTGGGGCCGCCTCCGGGTGGATGTGGGTTTGTGATTTGCAGGTACAGATGTGGGGCTCACCGGGGCTGGGCGCCAGCGGGGGCAGGGGCGCTCAGAAGAGACAGGACGGCATGCAGAGGGACAGAAGCCAGCAGAGCGCCCAGGTCCAGGGAGACAGCGACAGGGGAGTGGCCGCAGAGAGGGAGGAGGAGGTGCAGGGTGGCTTCTGCTGCTGACCGTGCCGGCGAGGCCGAGATGGCCCAGCCGCCACCTCCGCCTTCCAAGGACACCAGCACCGGGGTGACACCGAGTCCTGGTCTCCTCCTGACAGGTCCGGCGCTGGCTTTCGCCCCTTACGTGGGAATCCCGCGGGCGCCTGCTGTGGATTTTCTACCCGAGGGCTGCACACGTTCCCAGGAGGGCCCAGCAGGGGCTCCGGGGGAGCGGGCGCTCTGTATGGCCTCCCCCTCTCCGCCCCTGCCGCCCCTCTGGGGTTCCCCCGCCTGCCCAGAGCCCGGAGCTGCCAACCGCTCTGCCAGAGGCTTCTGGCTGCTACTGATGGACAGCGTCGGCCTCGCGGCAGAGCCAGCGCGAGCTGTTTCCCTCGGCTCCACCGTCCCTGGGGACGTGGCCTCCTTGGCAGCTGCCCCAGAGCACAGTGGTGCGGGCTGCACTCAGCTCCCCGGGCGCTCGAGGAGGAGAGTCGGTCTCGGTTTCAGTGTCTTTTTAAAGATTTATTTATTTATTTATTTATTTGAAAGGCAGAGAGAGAGAGAGAACCATCGGCTGAGTCACTCCCCCAATGGCTACAACAGCCAGGACTGGGCCAGGCTGGAACCAGGAGCCAGGAGCTTCTTCCAGGTCTCCCACATGGGTAAAGGGACCCAAGCACTTGGGCCATCCTCCGCTGCTTTCCCAGGCCATTAGCAGGGAGCTGGATCGGAAGCAGAGCAGCCGGGACAGGTGCTCATGTGGGCTGCTGGCGTGGCAGATGGTGGCTCAACCCGCTGAGCCACAGCGCCGGTCCTGGATGCCAGTGCGTGTTCAACAGAGATGTCTACTGGGCAGGCAGACGTGAGCAGAAGGCCCTCCCGACGGGGACAGAGAATGAGCAAGGCGGGGGTGAGCTGGGCAGCCCAGGCGGCATTCTTGTTGTCGCCCTCGGATCTGCCTGGAGCAATCTGGCTGCTCGCCCCTTCCCCACGTGTGTGGATTCACCCATCTGTTGAACCCTGGGAGGACTTCCTGTATGCGGTGTTGATGCTAACAGCCAACACACGTTACATGTTTTGACATGTATGGTGACAGCCAACATATGTTGCATGTGTTGACATGTATGATGACAACCAACATATGTTACTGTGTTGCCATACATGGCAACACTCAACATATGTGACGTGTACCGCCAGGTATGGTGACAGCTAGCATATATGACATGTGTTGTCATGTGTGGCAACAGCTAACACACATGATTGTGTTGACATGTATGGTGACAGCCAACACACATGAATGAAGTCATGAGACTGTGCTCAAAAGCTATACCCGTATTTTCCTGGTGAATCTTCACCACCATCCCGTATGGGACCTGCTGGTGTGGCCCCATTTTAGAGACGACAAGACTGGTTCAGAGGGCTCACGACGTCAGCCAGTGAGTGCCTCGCTGCCTCTAGGTCTCGGGGTAGAGACTCAGACCAAGGACTCGCACAGTTCGCGCTGGATTTCTTCCCATCGCCTGTGGGCGATTACTCCCTGATCAGACTCAGGCACTCCAGAGACAGTGCCTGCCTGAACTCCAAGGCACAAGGCACTGTTTGATCCGATTTTACCTTCACAGCAGCCATGGGAGGTCCACACTGAATGTTCTAGTAAAAACCAGATACTGGGGGCGGGGGTGGTCTTCCCCAAGACCACCATGCAACTCAGTGTAAGAACTGGGCTGGAAACAGCTTCCCATCCCGGGCTCCATCCCACGCAGGGTTTCAGGAGAGGGATCTGCTCCGGTTGGTTCCGGGGGCCTCTCATCTCCTTCCAGTGCTGGGGAACTGGGCACCTCCTGCATCTCTAAGCCGGCACCCGTCCTGTTCGCAGAACCCAACCCCTTTCTTCCCGCATGAGCAGATCCCATGTTGGACAGCGGCACCCAGTGGCTAAGTCTGGTACTGCGGCCCAGGGTTTGTAAATTCGGAAAAGTTTCACTGTTCATTCATTATTATGTCAACAGTGAGCACCTACTATGTGCTCGGCCTGGGCACCTGGAGGTGAATGAGATGTGCTCCCTGGTCTCAAGGAAGTCACAGCCTTCGAGAAGACAGGCAGGTGTATCAGAGCAGTCAATGGGAAAGGAGACAGGGGACCTGCAGCCCCGGTGGAGACATCGGGGCCGTCCCCCACCCCCACCCCCACCCCCGAGCTGATAGCTTGGGCTGAGCTGCCAGAGGCGGAAGGAGTATCTCAGACAGGAACGAGAGTGTTTGCGAAAGCTCAGCATGTCCGGGGAGGGCGGGGCTGCCTGCTAGAGATGTTCCGTGTGTCAGCCCCGAGCGTCGCATGGGCATGCTTGCACTAACATGCTATTTCTTATTTACCTGAAACTCAAATTCAGCTGGGCAGCATCCTGGGTTTGGGGTCCTGTGTTTCAGGTGGTCAGGGCCAGCTGGAGCCTAGAGGAGGACACGGGGCACGTGGCAGGAGTGACCGGCAGAGACATCCCATAAGGGCGTGGATGCCGGGCTAGGAGTTGGCCTTCCCCTGTGGGCATCGGGAAAGGACTCTGTCTCAGGACCCTGTGCTTGGCACAAGGGACACAATCCCTCCCTCATGAGCTTACAGTCAAGGGGACCAGATGAGCCCTGGCCTGGGGTCAGGGAGTAGACAGGAACCCCTTTCTACAGCACCCACAGCAAGTGCTCGGGGCACAGAGGAGGGAGAGGCGTGTCTGGCTGGGAAGTCAAGGGGGCTTCCTGGAGGAGGGGACAACTGATCTGACTCAGGAAGGGCCTTCCTGCGTGCTGCTGCCCCCCACGAGCCATCCCTGCCTCCCCCTGGTGTGGGGGCACAGGAAAAGTTCTCACAGCCCCTTCTCTAGCCCCACATCCCAAATTCATTCTCACCTCCTTGCCTTCGCACCTGCTGTTCCTCCACCAGGAACGTCCTTCCTTGCCTGGGCGACTCCTGGTTGCTCTCTAAGAGAGCAGTCACCAGCGTGAGCCGATTCATTTTATCTCTGAGCCGCCCCTCCAGGGGGCTATTGCTGGGACCCCCTGTACAGATGAAGAAAAGGAGACGAGAGACGTGCAGGGACTGTGCGGGGTCGCCGATGGCCGAGGGGTGGAGCTGGGTTTGAACCCGGTGAAGTCGGGCTCCGGGTTGTGCCGGGAGCCTTCATGGCTCCTGGAGGGCCCCGTAGCCGGCAGGCGCGATCAGGTGCTCGTGTTTCTGGATGAGGGTTCTCAAAGGTGCCCGCGCGGCTCGCTTTCCTGGGCTGAGCTCTCTGAAACCAGGGCGTGTGCCTCGGCCCGGGTGAGCCCCCGGGAGAAGAGGATCCTTGGGGCAGGTTTGCTGAGCAGTCGCCACGCACAGCCAGCCCGGCCCCACCCCCATGGCGCCTTTGTCTTGCCCCAGGCAGTGCTCCAGCATGGTGCCCCATGTCTCTGAAGGGAGGGGACGTGGGGTCCTGGGACACCCGAAGGCATGGACATTCACGGTGGCTCTGTGCAAGAGCTTGGCCTTGACTCCCAACGCTGCCAGCACTGGCAGGTTGAGCCTCCGTTTCCCTTCCGGGCTCACCCACGTGTGCTGAACCCGACAAGGACTCCTTCCCCCAGAGGGCACCGAGGGGCCCGCGGCGCCTACCACGGCCTTCTCCCTGCTCTAAAGCAGCCCAGCCCCCAGGGTCTGCGCACAGACGACACCACGCGGGGCGGCAACCTCACTAACCGCCTTCTCTATTCCTCGGCAGGAGCTCAGTGAGTTCAACGCCACAGCCATAAAAAGCCCCACCAACACGGTCACTGTGCAAGGCCTCAAAGCCGGCGCCATCTATGTCTTCCAGGTGCGGGCTCGCACCGTGGCAGGCTACGGGCGCTACAGCGGCAAGATGTACTTCCAGACCATGACGGAAGGTGAGCCAGCCCGCCGCCGCCCCCACTGCGAGGCCTCTCCGTGCAAGCTGGAGATGGCGCTGCCTCTCCTGGCGGCCAGTGCTTGTCCACCCCCCCAGCTCGGGACCCTTTGTGCAGTGTGCAGCCTGCACAGCTGTCCCCGGAGGCCCCGTTTCAGTGGCCCAGAAAGGATGCAGATGCCTCCATTGCCTCCATGGCAGCAGCTGGGCCACATCCCTGCCCAGGCCTCCAGGAGCTCAGCCCTGACTCACATGGCCATGCTGAGGAAGTCCCTTCCGTCCCGTAGATCAGATCTCTCTCATTTATAAAGATCTCTCTCGTTTATAAAGATCTCTCTCGTTTGATTTGAGAGAGTGAGCCTGTTGTATCCATGCTCGGCTCCAGCACCTTGCAAGGGGGATTAAGAAGTCTGAAGTCATGTCTGAGTTCAGCCGGAAGAAGTGCTGGGATGGATTAGTAATGTCTACCCTGGGCAGGGCTATGGGAGGCTGTAGCCCGAGTGCAATGTGTGTTTCCCCATCTGGGACTACAGGGTCTCTAAGCACCACTCCTGCTCTAACAGTCTTTGAGGAGCAGCATAGTTTATTTTTTTTAAGTTTTTTATTTGTTTATTTGAAAGGCAGTGTTGGCTGGCGCCGCAGCTCAATAGCCTAATCCTCTGCCTGTGGTGCTGGGTTCTAGTCCTGGTTGGGGCACCGGATTCTGTCCCGGTTGCCCCTCTTCCAGGCCAGCTCTCTGCTGTGGCCCAGGAGTGCAGTGGAGGATGGCCCAAGTGCTTGGGCCCTGCACCTGCGTGGGAGATCAGGAAAAGCACCTGGCTCCTGGCTTCGGATCAGTGTAGTGTGCTGGCCACATCGCACCGGCTGCAGCGGCCATTGGAGGGTGAACCAATGGCAAAGGAAGACCTTTCTCTTTGTTTCTCTCTCTCACTGTCCACTCTGTCTGTTAAAAAAAAAAAAGGCAGAGTTACAGAGAGGCAGAGGCAGAGAGAGAGAGAGAGGTCTTCCATCCACTGGTTCACTCCCCAATGGGCCACAATGGCCAGAGCTGAGCTGATCCGAAGCCAGGAGCCAGGAGCTTCCTCTGGGTCTCCCATGCAGGTACAGGGGCCCAAAGACTTGGGCCATCTTCTACTGCCCTCCCAGGCCATAGCAGAGGGCTGGATCAGAAATGGAGCAGCCAGGTCTTGAACTGGTGCCCATGTAGGATGTCAATACAAGGAGCAGCATAGTTTAAACAACGCGAGCTGCGGCGCCAGGCAGATGGAGATCCTGGTCCTGACTCTGCCCCGTGTCACCTCACCTCTCGGCCCCTCGATTCTCTCGTCTACAAGTGGGGGTGATAACAGCTGGCTCACCATCATCATCCTCACTAGAGGGTGGCGCTAGGTCCCGTGCATAGGTGGCCAATACCAGTAGTAGGCACGGCATGGCTCCGGCTGCTGTGAGTCTGCCTGCATGTCCATGGGCCAGCCGAGCCCCGGGGCGGCTCTCAGCCTGGGCCTTTGTCTGGCCGAAGCTTTCCGAGGTGCCTGGCCCCCCACATTCCAATCCCCCCAATGGCTGCTCACTCACCTCCTCCGTGAGATGCCCCTTCCCCAGGCAGCGGCTTCACCTCCCGCCGTCCTTTCCCACGTGGGATGAGTGTCGCCGACCAGAACCTGGGACTGTCCCACGAGCCTTTCTGTATTCCTTTACCAAGTGCATGTTGAGGCCCTGCCGTGTGCTAAGGACACAGCTCACCTCGTCCCCCACCTCCAAGCTCCAGTTCCAGTGGCAACAATAGGATCCAAGGCTCTGATGGTGTTGAAGGCATTGGGAAGGAACCAGGTGCTTTGTAAGAGCCAGACCCATGCTAAGTGCACCCGATGTATAATCTCATTTAAGTCCCTGGCCTTGGGGTGAGCAGGCCTGGATTCCACCTCCTAACTGTGACCCCAGCAAACCCTGACCCTCCTAAGCGGGCAGTCATGGGAAGTACATCACCAGACTGGTGCAAGAATCTGACAGGATAGGTGGCAGATTGGAGGGGGCGCATCAAGAGCTGATGCAAAATGGAATTAAAAGACAAACGTAGGGTGGTACAAAAAAAAACTTCTAATTGCTTTTTAAAAAAAAAAAAAAAAAGATTTATTTATTTATTTATTTGAAAGAGTTACACAGAGAGAGAAGGAGAGGCAGAGAGAGAGAGAGAGAGGTCTTCCATCCTCTGGTTCACTCCCCGATTGGCCACAATGGGCAGAGCTGTGCCTATCTGAAGCCAGGAGCCAGGAGCTTCCTCCAGGTTTCCCACACAGGTGCAGGGGCCCAAGCACTTGGGCCATCTTCTACTACTTTTCCAGGCCATAGCAGGGAGCTGGATCGGAAGTGGAGCAGCCGGGACTTGAACCAGCGCCCACATGGGCTGTCGGCACTCCAGACTGGGGCTTTAACCCACTGCGCCACAGCGCCGGCCCCTCTAATTGCTTTTTCATAATTTGCCTTTGCATGCACTTTTTGAAGGCCCTCGTATGCAAGGACTGCAACATTTTTTGCAGCAAAACATTTTAATCTTAAAGATTGATTTATTTATTTTAAGAAGAGAGTGTCACACAGGGAGACGCAGACAGAGGGGTCTTCCATCTGTTGGTTTAGTCTCTCCGCATGGCAGCTAAGGCCCTGGCTGGTTCATGCCAAAGCCAGGAGCCTGGACCGCCCTCTGGGTCTCCCACATGGGCGGCACCAGTGCCTGCACTTGGGCCACCTTCCGCTGCCTTCTGGGCGCATCAGCAAGGGGCTTGGGTTCCGAGTGCTTTGTGTGACAGCCATCTTTATCCCCTTATGTAGACAAGGAGAGCAAGGCACAGACAGGTAATGACTTTGCCCAAGTTCCACCCAGACAGGAAATGGCACCCTGGGGCTGCCAACCCAGGGGGCTCCTCTGACCCGTCGCTCCACGTGTCAGCTGTTTTTGTTGATTCTCCTACCAAACGTGAGCTGGGCATATTATTACACCCATTTTAGAGATGAAAATTTGAGGCTGGAGCCGTCCTTGGACATGTCCAAGGTGACATGTGAGTGGGTGATGACCTGCTCTCCACATGGGCGTGAGACAGGCCCTGTGTGGGGAACAGGAACAGAGCCTGGGGGTCCCAGGAGACCCCAGGAGCAGGCTGGGGGCGGGTGGAAGGACCCCAGAGCGAGGTGACAGTGCCCCGCTATGCTCTCTCCCCAGCTGAGTACCAGACGAGCATCCAGGAGAAGCTGCCCCTCATCATCGGCTCCTCGGCCGCCGGCCTGGTCTTCCTCATCGCTGTGGTTGTCATAGCCATCGTGTGCAACAGGTGGGTTGGGGTCCCAAGCCTGCTGCGGGCCTGGCTGCCCGAGATGGAGCTCGCCTCGGCCTGGCCCCTCCTGGTCCACGTCTGTGACCGTGGGAGGCATCCCCAGCGTTGCTGGGGCCAGGGGAGCCCTCCCCTGCCACTGCCTAAATGGCCGCCTGGACAAGTCCACCCGTGAAAGAGCCGGCCCGTGGCGACACAAGCACTTGAGCTTGGAGGGCAGACTGCAGGATGCTGGGGCTACGGGGGGTGGTAGACGGGTCACCCCACCTTCTGCACTAGTGCAGGGCCCCGCTGAGCTGCGGGGACGATGGGAGGGGGTTAGACAGGAGGCGAGGAGACAGCGCCCCCAGCATCTGGCAAGGCGGGGAGGGGACCCTTCCCCAACTCCCACAAAAGAGACTTCTCCTTAAAGGGGACCCTCTGTAGAACAGACTGGACCCCAGGCCAGGTGACAGAGGCCATGGCTGGGCGATGACTTTGCCGTCTGGAAGGGGCTCAGCGGGACAGAGGCCAGGAGAGTGAGCCTGGACTTGAGGTGGGAGGGGGCGTAGGGACCTAAGCTGCCAGGAAGGGGCAGAGAACCTTCTAGCAGGAGGACAGCTCCGCGGGGCTGCCCCCCTCTCCCTGCGCCTGCTGTGGCTCCCAGCTCCCCGGGCGCCTCCAGGTGGCTCCAGCCCTTTGCTCTTGTTCCAGAAGACGGGGGTTTGAACGTGCCGACTCGGAGTACACGGACAAGCTGCAGCACTACACCAGCGGCCACAGTACGTACCCGCCCCGGAGGGCAGCCAGGAGGAACGGCCAGCTGCTCCCCAGACGCACCAGGCTCATGCTGGCCCCCTGGCCTTGGCACATGCTTGCCCCTCTGCCTGGAGCCCCACGCACCGTATCCATTCCCTGACTCATACCTTAGGCCCCAACAGGTTTCGGGGCTCCTGGGGCTTCGGGCCCTCTCTTGCTGTGCTGCAGAGAATGGCGGTTTTCTTATTCCCTGAGCGGCACGGCCGGAGTCCCTGAGACAGGAACCACGCCTGCTATTGGCCTCTGCATCCGCCTGGCGCGGAGCAGGCACGGGTGCACCTTGCAGAACGCACCAGCAATGCCGGAACTGCGCATGCGGGAGGTGCTCTGGCCCTCGGCAGAAGCCCCTGCTCCCTGTGCTCCCCTAGTGGCCTGGCCAGGGCCCCCGTCTTCCCCACCGTCCCCTCCTACATCCGGCCAGGCCGAGCCTGCAGCAGGGCCCGAGAGAAGAGCAGCTCACACCCAGATGCCGCTCTCCACGCAGCCTTGGCGGAACCAGTCACCGGGGTGCGCGTCGGAGGGGAGAGCCCGGTCCTCGCTTCCTCTCTCAGCAAAGAGGACTCGCACGTGTCCATCTGTCCTCCGCAGGGCGCCCTAGGGCCCCACAGGGCCGCCATCCCCCTCTGGGTGTGCCAGGCCCGGTTCTAGAAGCCGGGGATGCCCAACACACAGAACCCCAGGCTCTGTAGAAGTGTCCTGGCGCCAGGCTGGGGAATCCGGTGAGGCCCATGGCGTCAGTGGGGCTGGCCCCGCCGAGGCAGCCACAGCAGGCCAGTTTTGAAGTTGCAGATGACATTTAAAGATCCAAATGACCCTTGGCAGAAAAAGGTTCCCCACCCCTGTTAGAGGGAGGGACCAGGAACGAGAGCGACCCCCGGACCCAGCGAGCGTGGCTACTATTTCTCCGAAATACAGTGCTGTGGGGAAGGCGGGGAAGACGGTGAGCGCAGGGTGTGGCTGAGGCATGGAGGGAGCCACTGCTGACCTCATTGTGAGGGTTTTGTTTGAACAAAGATACAAAGGAGCCTGGGAAGAGCATTTCTGGCAGAGGGAACAGCCTGTGCCAAGGCCTTGAGGCCAGAGCCTGCCTGGCAGGGTTTAGGAACAGAGAGGCCAGTGGGATTGGGACCAAGCTGGGGCAGGACCTTGGCCTAAGCCTGGGAGGGGCTGACACAGGGAGACAGCAGGTGACGGAATCATCCGGGGCAGACAGGACGGGGGCCAGACCCGATGGCCGCGGTCACGGTAGCAGCTGGACCCTAAGGTCCAGTTTGAAAGCAGAACCCCTAGGCTTGCTACAGGAGTGGGTGTGGGGTGCACAAGAAAGAACAGAGCCAAGCAGGTCCAGACTGGAAGCTTCGGGGTGAGGCTTCACGGGGAGTAAAACCCCTGGCCATAAAGTCATGTGGGATGCACGTGTGAGGGCAATTATAGGGTCCAATGTCCACCAGATGGCCCAGGGAACGGCATTGCAGACAGGGACGGGACAAGGGCTCTCAGAGCTGAAAAGCAGCGGGAGGCCCACAAGGAACAGATGGACGTGCGGGGTCGGGGTGTGGCCTGCGGTGAGCAACGCTCACGTCCCGCATCCAAGCGCCTGGGCTGGAGCCCAGCTCCCCTCCCAGCCCAGCTCCCTGCTAACGCACACCCTGGGGGTTCAGTGATGGCTCAAGGCCCGAGGACTGGCCTCCTGCCACCCGCGCGGGAGACTCAGATTCAGGTCGCCTTCCAGGTTCCTAACTTCTGTGGGCATCTGGGGAATGAACCAGCTGACGGGAATGCGCACTCTCTCTCTCTCCCAAGTCAATAAATTTTTGAAAAAATGTTTTTAAGATGGACACCTTTAAGTACCCAGAAATAAAACTCTCCTGTGCCTTAACAGTAAGTCATCCGTTCCATCGTCCCCTCCAGTTCCGCAAGGGATAAAATCGTGCTCCTGGCCGCGGCTGCACGTGTTACGGGCATGCACCGTGCTGGGAACTGTTTCCAGGCTTTGCCCACATTTATTCGTTTACAACTGAGGCACAGAGGCTGTGCAGTTGCTCAGGAAAGGAGCCGGAGTGTGGAGCCCACTGTCTGCATTCCCCCGAGCTAGACCCAGAGGGGCCCCCGCTTTGTCGCTGGAGCTGTTGGGGAGCCAGGGACGAGAAAGCAGGAGCGATGTATCTTAAAAATAGCCCCTGGGATGTGTCCGCAGACCCGTACATTGCAAAGCCTCCTCGCTGGGCCCTGAGCTGAAATCTGAGCTCTGAGGAGACTTTGTTCTTTTCAAAGCACTGCTGGCCCTGTGATCCCGACGTGGCCAGCGACCCCGCGTGGCCAGGGCCAAGCAGGTGCCGAGGCCCACGGGTGTGTGACCACCCACACAGTCGCCTGGTTCCCATCCTGCCGCAGGGGCTGCTGAGCCAATCCCAGGGCCTGTGGTGCCCGGAGGTGGAGCCAGAGGGTGCCAGGCTTCCCACCCCTGCTCTGCCGCTGGCCCGCTGAGGACTGTGGGAAAGGCATCGCGCCCCTCTGAGCCCTGGTGGCTTTATACCGGGAGTAGCCAGAGCGACAGCTCTTTCATGGGTCCCGAGGATGAGACGGATGGAAGTGCTTTGTAATAATAATATTTCACGGTAGCCACCTCGTCTTTCTAACAGCGGCACTTTCTCAGTGCTGTTTGCCAGCTGCCAAGCCCTTAAAAAGATTCCCCATTTAATCCTTGCACTCCTCTTGTGAGGTAGGGACTATTTTTTTACACCCACTTTGTAGCTGGTAAAAAAAAAAAAAAATGAGGCATGGGGTGGGTGTTGGGCACTGTGCTTAAGACAGTGCTTGGGACACCTGCCTCACCTACCAGGGCGCAGCGTTGGAGTCACCTCCGCTTCCAGTCCAGCTGCCTGTGAACGCACATTCCGAAGGCAGCAGGCAATGGCTCGAGTCCCTGGGCCCCCGCCACCCACATGGGAGACCCGGGGGGAGTTCCTGGCTCCTGACTTTGACCTGGCCCAGCCCTGGCTGTTGCAGGCATTTGGGAAGTGAACCAGCAGATCAAACATCTGTCTCTGTCTGTCTGTCTGTCTCTCCCCCTGCCTTTCAAATAAAATGAAAACAAATGCATAAAAATTAAAATAGTAGCCGGCGCTGCAGCTCAGTAGGCTAATCCTCCACCTGCGGCGCCGGCATACCAGGTTCTAGTCCCGGTCGGGGCGCCGGATTCTGTCCCGGTTGCCCCTCTTCCAGGCCAGCTCTCTGCTGTGGCCCGGGAGTGCAGTGGAGGATGGCCCAAGTGCTTGGGCCCTGCACCCCATGGGAGACCAGGAGAAGCACCTGGCTCCTGCCATCGGATCAGCGCAGTGTGCCAGCCACAGCGCACCAGCCGTGGCAGCCATTTTGGAGGGTGAACCAACGGCAAAGGCAAAGGAAGACCTTTCTCTCTGTCTCTCTCTCTCACTGTCCACTCTGCCTGTCCAAAAAAAAAAAAAAAATTTAAAATAATAGAAGTGGGGCACAGAGGTGAATCATCCAAGAGCTTCCAGCTGGCTCAACACAGCGGCCAATCCTGGACTGAAACTCATAAAGCAGCCGACTCGGACACATTGTCCCTGGCAGAGGCAGAATTCAAACCCAGGACTCCAAACGCCTGCCTCCTCCTCCCTCCTCCTGAATTCCCCAGCTACAGCCTGGCAGCCACGAATCACCCGAACCTGGTCCGGTGTTTCCAGTATCATCTATAGGCTCTGCAGAGGGCTCAGCTTGGCAAACTGCCCGGCTGGGGCCCAGGCCAGTGGCGAGCTGATCAAGAAGAGGAAGAGGAGCGGGGGCGTCGGGCCTGGTGGTTAAACCATCAGCTGGGACGCTCACATCCCAAAGCAGAGCGCTTGGGCTGCATTCCTGGCCCTGGCTCCTCCTGGCTGCAGCTTCCTGCAAGTGCAGACCCCGGGAGGCGGTGGTGACGCTCAGGTGGTGGGGTCCCTGCCGCCACACGAGACGCCGGGACTGGGTTCCTGGCCCTTGGCTTTGGCCCAGTCCAGCCCCAGCTATCACAGGCTTTTGGGGGAATGAACTGATCAATGTGCGCGCTCTCTCTCTCTCTCTGTTTCCAGTTCTGCTCCTCAATTTACATTTTACTTTTTTTTTTAAGTTATTTATTTATTTGAAAGGCATGCTGGTTCACTGCCCAAATGGCCACAACAGCCAGAGCTGGGCCAGGTCAAAGCCAGGAGCCAGGAGCTTCTTCCTGGTCTCCCATGTGGGTGCAGGAGCCCAAACACTTGGGCCATCTTCTACTATTTTCCCAGGCACATCATCAGAGAGCTGGATGGGAAGTGGAGCAGCCAAGACTTGAACCAGTGTCCATGTGGGATCCCAGCACTGGAGGCGGCGGCTTTACCCTACCCACGATGCCACAGCACTGCCCCCCCCAAGTTGGCTTTGAGCTCCCGCTGTGCTTGCCCAGGGCTCCCTGAACCCACCCCCTCCTGCCCTCCCTTCCTAGCTGGCCACCAGAGGGGCCTTCCCCAGTTCTGTTAATAGAGGGCAGGGACCTCATTGGGGCGCAGTAGGTGAAGCCACTGCCTGTGATGCTAGTATCTCCTATGGGTGCTGACTCAAGTCCCAGCTGCTCCACTTCCAATCCAGCTCCCTGCTAATGTGTCTGGCAAAACAGCAGAGGATGGTCCAATGCTTGGGCCCCTACCACACTGGGGAGACTGGGATGGAGTTTTGGGCTCCTGGCTTTGGCCTAGCCCAGCCCTGACTATTGTGGGCATTAGGGTGTGAACCAGTCGATGGAAGATCTCTCCTCCCAACCCTCTACCTTGCAAATAAAGAAATAAATCTTTTTTTTTTTTTTTTCAAAAGAGAGAGGACAAATCCAGTTGCCAAGAACCACAGACCATGCACTGGGTCTGAGCAAAACACAGGAGCATCTCCAGGGAGCGGCTTGCCCAGCTCAGCACTTGGGGAAAGAGGGAGTCGTGGCTGGACCCCCAGAAGAAGGCGCCATGGCCAGGTCCTGGTTGTGCACCACCCAGGAGGCAACGCGCCCTGGAGCCAAGAGGGCTGGCCCTGGGTTCCAGTCCTGGCTGTGCCATTTGCTGGCTGTGTGGCTCTGGCCAGGTGTCTTAACCTCTCTGAGCTGCAGCTTCCCCGTGTGTGAAATGGGGATAGTGATCCTTTTCTCCAAGAATTACTGGAAGGAAGCCATGAGATGCGGCTGCGTTTAGGGGACCTGGCACAGGTGGGGCACAGACAGAGGCTGGGGTGACAGCTGCTGTTGTGGATGGTCTGTCTCGGTCGTCTGGACTCAGCTGCTTGGAGGCAGAGTGTCTTTTGTGCGCCTTCCCCTGCTCCCGGGCACCCCCCCACCTCGGGGGTTCACTGGGTCTCTGGCTTCCGGGAGGCTGCTTGCAAGGCTTGGACCCCACAGGTATGCCTTGCGTAGCCAAGAAAAATCCAGAGGCCCAAGCTCAGGGGTGGATTTTATTTTTATTTAGTTGAAAGGCAGAGTGACAGAGAGAGACATCTTCCAACCACTGGATCACTGCTCAAGTGCCCACAAGCAGCCCGAAGCCGGGAGACCGGAACTCAGGCCAGGTCTCCCCGTGGAGGTCAGGAGCCCAAGCACTTGAGCCATCATCCGATGCCTGCTCCCAAAGCTGGATCAGAAGCGGAGCCAGGACTTGAACCAGGCGCTCTGATCTGGGACGTGGGCATCCCAAGCGGCGTCTTAGCCGCTGCTTAACCAGACAGTCTGTGGGATAATTTTGAGTCCTAATATCAGATGACTTAGACACATTCTTCTAAACACAGGCGGTGGTTTTGTTACTGCTGAGAGAGACAGTGAGAGGTCTCTCACCCCGTGGTTCATTTTCCAGATGTCTGGGCAACATCTGGAGCTTGGCCGAGCCAAAACCAGGAGCCTGGAATTCAATCCAGGTCCCCCACGTGGGTGGCAGGGACCCGAGTACTTGAGCCCTCACCTGCTGCCTCCCAGGTGCGCGTTAGCAGGGAGCTGGATCAGAAGTGGAGGTGGACTGCGCCCAGGCACTTCCCTGTGGGGTGCGGGAGTCCCCAGCGGCAGCCTCACCACTGTGCCACCTGCCCACCCCGCAGTCTTTCCTGTGAGGGCTTTGTGGGGCGGACGCCTCTGCTCTAGCAGCAGCTCTGCTGTTACAGCATGGAGGTAGCCACAGGCAACGGAATGAACAGAGCCAGGTTCCAATAAAACTTTATTTACAAAACAAGCAGTGGGCCAGTTAGAAGCTCCAGCTCCTACATTCCTGGAATGTCTAAAATGGAGGCTGAGTATGGTCGGCTAACAGGTCCAAGGTCACACAGCTGAGCAGGGTTGATGGCCTCACATCACCGATCTGCAGTGTCTTGCAGGGACCCAGCAATGCCAGCTCCCAGCTCCTGGGGCTGCTCCCTCCAGAGTGACAGCTCTCAGAGCAGTGGGAGAGGTGAGCAATAGCCGAGGAGCCAGAGGAAGGCCTCTGGGCCGGCAGGGGCCGGAAGGGGTGGGCGTAGAGGATCAGTTCCCTGGGAAGGGGATGTGGGAGGATCCTGTGTCCCTTCCTGCAGAGCCTCCTGCCCGGTGATGGGCCAGAATTGGGTCTTTGATGTCCTGGTTACCTCCTTGTGTCTTGGCACCAAAAAACCAAAAATCTACATGGGATCCAGAATCAAATCAGTATGCCCCATGCCCAGCCTCCTGCTGATCTCCAGGGCACCAGGGGTCCAGGAAGGTTTAGACTTGACTAATGGACACAGGGGGTGGTCCCAGGAACTGTGGGTGCTCAGGCCCTGGGAGGGCTGCCTCAGCAGGCTGGACAGCCTGGAGGGGCTGCTGCGTGAGAGGAGGAAGGAGTTGTCCTTGGCCGGACCCCCACCACAACTGTCTATTGCTTGTTCTTTCCGTACTTTTAAAATTTTTGTTTAAAAGCCACAGAGATCTGTCCACTGGTTCATTCCCCAAATGCCAACAACAGCCAGAGGCCGACCAGGCTAAAGCCAAGAGCCTGGAACTCAATCCAGGTCTCCCCCGTGGGTGGCAGGGACCCAAGCACTTAAGCCTTCACCTGCTGCCTCCCAGGTGCACATTAGCAGGAAACTGGTTCAGAAACGGAGGCTGGACTCAGGGCCAGGCTCTCCCATATGGGAGGCTGGTGTCCGCTGCACCAAATGCCCATCCCTTTTCTGTATTGTAGTTCTGGTTCTTCCCTTTGATCCCCTCTTCCTCTACTTTGCACCCCTGATTCTCCATCAGGAGGGCACCAACCTCTGCATCCTTTTATTCTTCTAATGCCCACACCCACAACAGGCATTGCTAGTCGATCCTGACACACTGAGCTGCCCCAGAAAGTCACTCCCAGTCAATCAGAGTTGGAACAAGAGCCAGCGCCTCCTTTCTGGTCTCTGTTCCTCTCACCTGCTACTCAGTGCCCATCTGCCAGTGAGGCCCAGAGAGGGGGTCGCCCAGTTCTTCCAGGGGCCACACGGAAGTGTCCTTCTCCCCACAGAGGGGCGGGCTTCTGCCTTCCCATGTGACTCAGGATGGGTCAGCCCATGTGACCGAGCCTGGTCTTGTCCCCCAGTGACCCCAGGCATGAAGATCTACATCGACCCTTTCACTTACGAGGACCCCAACGAGGCAGTGCGGGAATTCGCCAAGGAAATCGACATCTCCTGTGTCAAAATTGAGCAGGTGATCGGAGCAGGTAGGTGGCACCTGCAGGCCGCAGCCAGGGGTGGAGAGACCAGGCCAGGGTGTGCTCCTGGGGCAGAGGGTCCGATGGGGGCAAGGGCCACAGAGCACCCTCTGAGACCGGGGGGATTCAGAATGCCCGAGGAATAAGGCCCCTCAGAGGTCATCTGGTAGAACAACCTCACCGATGGAAGAAGGGGGAAACTGAGGCACGGGGGTGGGGAGGCGCTTGCACAGCAGGTCAGAGGTTGAACTGGACTGGAATCCAGTTCTTAGACTTTGCGCAATGCTTTGTCCTCTGTCCCACTGGTCATCCCAAGTCCCTGTGCCCCCCAGCCCAGGCTCCCCTGCACCTCCCCATGTGCCCAGTCAGATACCAGGGCACCACCCTTGAGGAATCTGCTCTTCTTGGGGGCGGGGACTTTTCCGGGCCCCCGCGTTGTCATGGGGGTTCTGTGTCTGAGAGGGCGAGTGGACCTGCAAGGAGGAAGTGCATCCGCAGGCCACAGGGGAAGAGGTGACAGGAAACAGGGAAGTGGCCCTTCCACCTGGCCAGTGGCCTCCCACCTCTCGCTGTGTCTGTCCCAGGGGAATTTGGCGAGGTCTGCAGTGGCCACCTGAAGCTGCCAGGCAAGAGAGAGATCTTTGTGGCCATCAAGACGCTCAAGTCCGGCTATACAGAGAAGCAGCGCCGGGACTTCCTGAGCGAGGCCTCCATCATGGGCCAGTTCGACCACCCCAACGTCATCCACCTGGAGGGCGTCGTCACCAAGAGCACACCCGTGATGATCATCACTGAGTTCATGGAGAACGGCTCGCTGGACTCCTTCCTCCGGGTAGGGGAAGCAGGGAGCGCCAAGGCCCCGCGGCACAGCTGCAGATGGTCAGAGCCTGCAGGGGTCCTGGGAGAGCCCTAGGTCCGGAACAGCTTGTAGGCTCGCGCTTTCCATTCCCTTACCATGGCAGGCATTGCTAGTCAATCCCAGCACTGTCTCCCACTAAACCCAGAAGCAATCTCCACATCCCCCGGAAGCCACGCCCAGCCGATTACAGAGTTGGCTCACTGCTGGCCGCCTGTTCTTGTGCACACTCTCAGCCATCCTCGTCTTGATGCACAGGAGAAACGGGCTCAGGGAGGGGCAGAGATGGCTCAGTGCCACCCAGGGGGTCAAGGTGAGAGCCTGGACGAGAACCAGGTGTCCGGCCCCTCCCCCAGAGTTTTCACCAGATCTTGGAGCCCCCACACATTTTTCCAGAACTATCTAGGCAGGGGGAAAGAGTCCTGAGCACAAGACCAACAGAGGGAACTTCCAGGTCCCTCGTCCCTCCCAGGGGACCACAGTTACCAGTTAGCCGAAGAGCAGTGGACTGACTGCCACGCCACAGACATCTGGGAAGCACCCACTCTGTGCCAGGCCCCTTGTTGTTTAGCCCGGAGCAGCCCTGGGAAGTGGTTATGGTTTATCACCATCGGACACACAGATGAGAAATCAGAACTCAGAGAGGTTCTGTCACACGTCCCAGGTTGCACAACCAGGAAGGGGCAGGCCAGAATCAAGCTGAAGCCCGTGTCCTCTCCACCACTCCAAGTTGGCCTTGCCAAGGTCGGCGGGCATCTGAGTCCTCCCCCAGGGAACCCAGAGTCTGGGCGGCAGGGGCCAGCTCCGGCTCTCCGGGGCTCCTACACCTGCTCTGCTCTTGACCCGTGTCTCCCCCACTCCTCCCAAAGCAAAACGACGGGCAGTTCACGGTCATCCAGCTGGTGGGCATGCTGCGGGGCATCGCGGCCGGCATGAAGTACCTGGCCGACATGAACTACGTGCACCGCGACCTGGCCGCCCGCAACATCCTGGTCAACAGCAACCTGGTGTGCAAGGTCTCTGACTTCGGCCTCTCCCGCTTCCTGGAGGACGACACGTCGGACCCCACCTATACCAGCGCCCTGGTAAGATGGAGATCGGGAACACGCGCCCCCTGCTGGACAAGAGTGCATCCACAGCCAGCCCTGCCCGCACCTGCTCATGCCAAACACCTGGCCCTGACCCCGTGTAGACCCCATCAACCATCACCCCCTGCCCTCCTGCAGCTCTCGGCCTGGTGGGGCGGCACAGGGAGGCAGAGCGGTGTTGGGAGGCAAGTGAAGGCCAGGCAGAGGGGCGGCAGCTGAGCTGAGAGCTGATGCGCCAGCAGAAGTTTGTAGGTGCCGGGAGTTCACGGCCAGCCTGTGTGACTGGAACGCAGTGGGAGAGGCAGCGAGCAGCAATGAGGAGATGCCCTTGAGTGCCCAAGCTTGGGACTCACTCCTGGGAGCAGCTAGGGTTGCTAAGGCTTTTCGTTTTATTTTTTAAGGATGTACTTGTTTATTTGAAAGGCAGAGAGAGAGGGAGAGAGAGAGAAATCTTCCATCTGCTGGTTCACTCCCCAAATGGCCACAAAGGCTGGGACTGGACCAGGCTGAAGCAGGAGCCTGGAACTCCGTCCAGGTCTCCCACTTGGACCATCTTCCGCTGCTTTCCCAGGTGCATTAGCAGGGAGCTGGATCAGAAGCGGAGCAGCCAGGACTTGAACCAGTGCCCATGTGGGATGCAGGGGCAGCCTAACCTACTGTGCCACAATGCCGGTCCCATGAAGGGTTTTTAGCTGAAAAGACGCAGGCCCTGCCCTCAAGGAGCCAGGCCAGCGGGCAAGTGTGGCGAGTTCTGTGCCCCTCACAGAGAACTGGCAGGAAGAGAACAGATCTTTGGACACGAGGAAGGGCTTCCAGGGGATGTGTGGATGAGAAGGAGGTGTCTGGGTGGCAGAGTGGGACAGGGCAGTGTGTGCAGATGTCCAGTGGTCAGAAGCGCAGGGAGAGTTTGAGGAACCAGGAGCTGCTTCCTGAGATTGGCACAGCACAGGGCACAGGACGGGGGAGTGCTGAGAGAGGCGGCCGCGCAGGTCAGCTTCCCACCTGTCAGCCATTTGTCCTGTCCCCCAGGGTGGGGAAGATCCCGATCCGCTGGACGGCCCCGGAAGCCATCCAATACCGGAAGTTCACCTCAGCCAGCGACGTGTGGAGCTACGGTATCGTCATGTGGGAGGTGATGTCCTATGGGGAGCGGCCCTACTGGGACATGACCAATCAGGACGTAAGTCTCCGAGGGGGTGGGCGGAGCCTTTCCAGCCAGCCAGATTTTGGTGGTGGGGGGGGGGGGGACCTCCAGGCCTTGTCCTGTTGTCCTGGGGCATGGGAGTTAGGACCCTTGAGACCGCAGGCCTGGTAGCCAGTGCAGCTCCCAGCCCAAGTGTCAGCCAACGTGTGTGCGTGCACAGGACCTGAGCCCTGCAGGGGTGGGGGTAAGGCCTTCAGGACGTGTGCACCTGTGGCCAGCCCAGGTATGGTTCACCGAGATTGTTCAGAGTCAGAAGTGGCCAGGTGCTCACTTGGAGGGGGCAGGGTTGGGTTCTGAGAGCACAGAAGTTGGGGCAGCATGGGCAGGAGCAACCGGGAAGTCCTCACGCAACAGGTGGGACCCGCATGGTGGACAAGCTTGGGAAGTGGGGGCTCCCGGGTGGGGAGAGCAGCCTGTGCCAGGCCCAGAGGTGACTGCGAGGGAGGGTGCTGGGGAGCTGGGCAGAGAGGGAGGCAGGAGTCAAAGCCATTTGAAAGTCAGCCCAAAGGGTTTCATTGGCAAACGTGCAGACGGGAAGACCTGAAGACGCCTCCTAGCCGGGAGCCACCGTGGAGCTGTGCAGGGCAGCCCGGCAGGAGGGACGGGACAGACCCACCATGGGGCCTGAGCTGTGCCGTGGGGCCCAACAGGGGACCCGTCAATGGCACTGACATGGAGAACATGGCCACCCTGGGGTCACGCAGAGGCCAGAGTAGGGGTCCTCAGGGCCACCAAAGCCAGGTCAGGGCTCACACAGGGGAAGGAGGGTACAGCTGTGGGGCGGGCACAGGAGGGCCAGCCTGGGGCCCTGGGCAGAGGTTACGGTCAGAGCACTGGATTCCCCAAGATGGGCGGAGCACCAGATGCCAGCTCACGGGATCAGACCCAACTCTGGGGCCCCCTCTAGGAGGGGGAGGTGGTTGCCATGGCAACACGAGCTCAAGCCTCTCAGATGCAACCCGGCCCCTGTGTTGTCCCAGGTGATCAATGCCATCGAGCAGGACTACCGGCTGCCGCCGCCCATGGACTGCCCGAGCGCCCTGCACCAGCTCATGCTGGACTGCTGGCAGAAGGACCGTAACCACCGGCCCAAGTTCGGCCAGATCGTCAACAGCTGGCAAGATGATCCGCAACCCCAACAGCCTCAAAGCCATGGCACCCCTCTCCCTCCGGGTACGGCTGCATCCCGCTCCTGGCAGGTGCCCCCCACTGCCGCTCAGGAAGGGGAAGGCTAGGACCAGCGGGGGAAGGCTAGGACCAGCGGGGCTTGGGGTGCAGGCGGGTGCAGCACACTGCTGTCAGAGGAGAATGCCCGTGCACTGTGGGTGGCAGGGGAATCCCTGTAAAGCAGGGTCAGCAGCTAAGAAAACTAACAAAGGGTTCGGAGTCTTAGCTGGGGGCTCATCACTCCCCTCACGCGCGTCCTGGACTCCTCTAGCTTCCATTTGCACACTCACTGACACAGCCGTGCACCACGCGCGCACACGTGCATGTATGCTCGGACAGATGCAGTGGACGCACACTCAGGCCCAAACACCCCCTGCTTCCTTGCACTCCGCGATGCCACACTCCTCACAGCCACAGGCACCTGCTCCCACGGCCCGCCTCAGAAGTCCACAGTCACCATACACACGCGTCCCCACACTCGGGTCAGTGTCCCAAGCTTGGGCTCTGTCCAGGGAGGGGGGTCTCACAGGCTCACTGGAGCTTCCCTTCTCCCCGGGCCCTGGGGCACGCTGCACCAGGCCGCCACTCAGCACTGCCCACCCTGGGCGGCTTGCCACGGGCCCCACCGCTGGCCCTACCCCCTCCTACTCTTTGGCTGCACAGTCCCCCAGGTCCCAAGGCACTAGCCAGCTGTGTGTTCCCCAGGATCCAGGGCTGTCTGTGCCAGACTCCTTGGGCCAAAGTCCTTCCCCCACATGAGCTCTGGGGGCCAATGAAATCGTTCACACCTGCCACACCCTTGTCTCAGCCCCTCCTGACTCAGTGGATAAGGCTACCTTGACCTCCAGAGAGTCAATTTCACTCCTTGCCAGGCAGGAAGTCATTGCCTAGTATCACCAGTTTATCTGGGGATGCAGCCTCCTGTAGCACAAACCCCAGGGAACAGCATGAGCGTGGCCCTGGGGCAGGAGCAGGAAGTGACCACTGGAATTCCACCTCCCGGAAGTTAGAGCCACAGAGAAGCAGCGCCCCCTCTCGCTCCTGAGGTCCATCGACCCAGCAGGGCCAGCAGGCTGCCCCAGCTTCGAGTCCTGCACACCCACACACCATGTACACACTGACACAAGTTCGAACGCACATCCGCACACAAAAGAAACACAAACACGCCAGCTCCGTTGGTGCAAGTGGAATACACACGTGCGCATACGTCGGCCGCCGCAGGTGTGTCCGCTCTCTGCGGGCATGGGCCCTGACCATCCCTGTCACCCCAGGATCAACCTGCCGCTGCTGGACCGCACGGTCCCCGACTACAGCAGCTTTAACACGGTGGACGAGTGGCTGGAGGCCATCAAGATGGGGCAGTACAAGGAGAGCTTCGCCAACGCCGGCTTCACCTCCTTCGATGTCGTGTCGCAGATGATGATGGAGTAAGTGCCCAATACCTCCACTCGCGCCGTCAGCGCCCGCTCCCACCCGCCCCGCCAGCCAAGCAGGGGGCCCCCAGAGGGTGAGGAACAGGCCATGTCCCAGCCGGCACACGGGGACCAAGGGGTGACATGGCAACTCTGGAGTCACGCCCCCTGGCCGTGTGACCTTGGGCAAATCCCAGCACCTCCCCCGGCCTCTGTTTTCTCATCTATAAACTGGGGGTGAGCCAGGAGCTGAAAGAGATGGCAGGAAGTGGTGCTTGGTGAATGCAAGCTCCCCTCCCGTCCCCGGGGAAGAGGGCAGAGGGGCCCCCAGGCGGCCTCTCAGTCCAGGGCTCTTCCAATGCCACAGCCGCTGCAGCGCTGGCCACCCTAACCAGCTCTCCCATCCCAACACCCCAGGCAGCTCATGGGGTGCCCAGCCCTCGCCACCACCCCCCACCCCTCCCTAACACACATGCTTCTCTCCCAAAGGGACATTCTCCGGGTGGGGGTCACGCTTGCTGGCCACCAGAAAAAAATCCTCAACAGCATCCAGGTGATGCGGGCCCAGATGAACCAAATTCAGTCTGTGGAGGTCTGACGGTCACCACCTCGGCGCACCTGTTCCTCCAGGCCCCGCCCCCTCCACCCCACACGCCGCCGGCCCCCCTGGCGCTCCGTCCACTGCAGGGTCCGCCACCTGCCAGGAGGCCGCCGGCAACGGGAAGGACCAAGCAGCGCTGCAGCCACGAGACGTCCCCGAGAACACGCGCGACTCGGACGATGGAAATAAGGGAATCGGAAAAAAAAAATTAAAAGGAAATAGGTCCTGGAGGGGCGGGACACGCAAGGACTATTTTTAAAGCGGATTCTCATCAGGAAAGCGATGACCGTTCTTGGAGAAAGCGTACAAGGCTTGGGGGTGCACGCAGTCTGTCCAGCCGGAGACCAGCAGTTTCTCTCCGTCTCCCTCTGGAAAGTGACCTGGTCAGAGCCGAGGACACTTTCAGGAATCAGATGAACCGGCGAGCCGGGGTCACCGCCTCTCGTGTCCTGGGGCTGCTCACGACACAGCCAAGCACCAGGTCCCGGGGGCAGGCGGACAGGCAGCCGCCCCGGGCCTGCTCTGGAAAAATCCATTCCTGCTGCCACTGAGCAATCAGAGACTTTTTCTGTCTTTGGAGAATATTCTAAAAACTCCAATGAGAGACTGTGTCTCCTGCTGGTCCTGGGGCTGAACAGGGGGCTTTGGTCCTCCCCGGGGTCGGGGAGAGCCCCGGGCACAGAGGGGGAAGGGCAGCTTTGCTGAAGACCGCCCTCCACCCCAGGTCTGCAGCTCCACGGCCAGACCCCGTGCACAACCCGGTGGCGCCGCCGTCGCCGCCGCTGCCACCAGCCCCCAGCCGAGGCCTGCTGCTGCGGTCACTGCCGTCAGCTACGACTGCCACCAAGGAGGGTGGATCCTGCGACTGGGTTGTTGACAGCACCGCGTGGACTCGTGGGGGTGGGGGTGGGGAATTTTGGTCACGGGTGTTTTGGTTGGGGGGTTTGTGGGGTGTTTTTTTTTTAATGACAATGAAGTGACACTTTGACGTTTGCTACCTTTTGAGGACTTACCGATCCTTCTCCAGTAAGAAGGTGCTTTCTGCATACTGACTTAGGCGATCTACCAAGGGCGAGATTTTATATGCACATTTCTGGATTTTTTATACGGTTTTCATCAACATCCTTCCCACCTCCCACCTGCTGCCAGGCCTCACCAAAGCCAACCGCCACGGGCCATCTGGCCATCCGAGACTCCCGCGATTCAATGGGGAGGGGGAGGCACCAAGGTGGAGGAGCATCCATCCCACCCCACACTCCACCACCCCCCCCCCAGGACTGTTTTTGAAAGCAACAGATTGAGCCGGAAGTGGGCTGTGAGGCTGCAAGTCCTTGCCCACTTCCCTACCCCCCCTCTCCAGCCTACCCAGTACTTCCCAGGCACAAAGGCCCCTTCGAGGTTCCTGGGTGCCCGGAGTCGGCCAAAACCCATTGTGCCTCTGGGACTCTAACCCGGGCTGCATCGGAGGCCAGGACCCGGCTCTTCACTGTGATAGCCCATCCGGCAGAGGGCGCCCCAGAGGCCCCGGGCAGGCAGCCCTTTCCCTTCCCTGGGGGGAACCTTTGTGATTTCTCTCCCACCTCCTTCCTGCCCAGCCTTTGCCTGGACCTGGAGGTCTTGGCTGTGGGAAGCCATCAGCCGAGGGGTCTGGCCACAGGCTCTGTCCCTGAGCCGAGGCAGGCACCTGAGCGGAACAATCGGTTAGTGAGCTGAATGGAAATAACGCTTTAGTTATAAAACGGCCCCTGTCCTCTGTGTTCCAAGAGAGAGCCTGGCACCCCTGGGGCATGCCAAGTGGCTCCTGATGCCCTTCCAGGATCCTAGGAGTCGCAGGGCTGGGCAGACACGTGCAGGACAGCAAGCTCCATGTGGCCTTTCTGGCTCCGACCCATCAAAAGCACAGGCAACAAAAGCAGCACTCCCGTTGGAAGTGGCTCGGCGTTCGATGCCCTGGGAATCCAGGTGAGCCACTGCAGGTGCATCAGGAGAAGGGGGTCGACGGGTGCACTCAGCACGCCTGGCCCAGAGGACAGGAGCTTGGGGCACCAGGTGAGCTGTGAGCAGGGTGGACTTGGGACAGTGAGGGCGGGACGGCCCTGGGGTTCCCTTGGCCACCAGCCAGGAATGCCCCCCTGATCCAGGCCAACTCGGATCTTCTGCGATGGCTCCTTGCGCCATCGAGATCAGAGCTGTGTGTGCACGGAAGTACTTTGCTGTGGACAGCAAGTCTGATGGAGGAGGGGTGCTCAGGGCTTCCCGTTTATCCAGGGACCTTCCTTGAGGAGACTGACCCTAGGGAAGAGGCAGGTAGCTAAAGGGCCTGCGTCAGAACGCAGCCAGCTGGGCCAGCCTGTCATCGTCGCTCACCTGTCCCTGAGCCGTGTGAAGGGAAGGAAAGGGATTAGGGAGGAGCGTGGGCTCCCGGGGGGACAGCAGGGCCAGCCGCAGGGAAGGCACTGGCTGGGTTCCCACAACCTGGCCAGCAGGGGCCCACTGGCCATCTCTGTGCCCCCAACATGCCCGGCACGGGTGGCAGCTGTCCTGGCACACGAGGTCACCTTCTGGCTGCACTGATGCTGTGTGGATTAACTCTGTCTCCCCAGCCCGCCCCCCACACCCCACTGCTCCAGGGCCCCACAGGGGCTGGCAGTCGGTGCTTCCTGTCAATGGCTTCCTGCCTAAGCCGCTGGGCTGGGCTCCACTAGCCAGCGCGCCAGCGCGTCCGCTCATCCGTCCTCCAGGGCCCGAGGGCCTCGGTGGCTTGGGCAGCCACGTTCCTGCTTCCCACAGTACGGGTGCTACCCGGACCCTCTGTCTCGTCTTCAGGGTAACAGACAGACATCACTGTGACCTCCCCTGGGGTGCAGGCGCCACTCCCTTCTCCCCTCTGCAGGGGCGATGCCCCGCCCCCCACCCCTTGCTTGCTGTGGCCAAGCCCCTTCCACTTAGGCTGCCCATTCCCCAGGCACACAGCCCCGAGCCCTTGCTGCCTGGTTACTAATCCTTTCCTGGCGCAGCCTCCTCAAGTGCCAGCCCCCACCTGCCCAGCAGCGTGAGAGGCGTTTCCGGCTGCGCTCACACAGTTGGTGCTTAACGAAGGAGAGTTGCCGGTCAGCACGGGCTAGGGCACCGTGGAAATGGGGCCAGATGCCCTGGGAGGGCTGGGCCTGGCAGAGCTGTGCCACCCACCCCGGTGCCCCTGGCTTCAGCACCCCCCCTAGAAATGGGCCATTATCATCGATCAGCAGCAGCCTCTTCCTGCAGGAGTGATATTTACAGCATTGATTAACTGGGAAGACGCGGGCAGACCAGTTAGAACCGACAGTGTCACTGTAGGGCGTGGGGGACACTTAAGGGACTCAGAGCAGGGGGTATTTACCAATGCCAGCAGTGCCCCAGCTCAGATGATGTCACCTGGTTCTTTCTGGTTGGGCCCTACTCTATCGCTGTCTGGGGGCTCTCTGCCACCCCCTTGTGAGCAGTCGTGCCTCCCACCCCCTCCCAGACAAGGGGCTCATGGCCAGAAGGCCGGGAGCACCCACCCCTGCCCAGCTGGACCCCATACCCGGCACAGGAAGGCCCCAGACCACTGTCCACGCCAGGGCTAGGCCCTTGACCACTCTGGGCTCTCCCAGGACCCCTGTGGTTCCGAGGAGGTACTGAAGGCTAGAACACTCCTGCAGGACAAATCGTGTGCGTGCATTCGCGGGACAGGGTGCAGCCAGATGCGTCCTGACCCCGTGGCAGCCTGCTCCTGCCACTGGCTCGGGACACGGGTCTAGGGAAACACTTCCCCTCTCAGCTCAGCTCCCG